CGGGAGGGACTTCGGGAATCGGGAGGGACTTCGGGAATCGGGAGGGACTTCGGGAATCGGGAGGGATTTCGGGAATCCTCTCGAGCTGTAGAAGGACGTGAATTAGGATGACCAGGGTACTGGCTCAAGCTCCAGAAGGGATAATGACTGGAAAAGAACTGAGATCTTACTCGGGAGGTAGGACCGCATGCAAATAAATATGCTAAAATCCATGACCGTGAACTCCCGTAATTCTCGCGTTCGGACATGTTACAATTTTATAACAAAAGTCTGGCCACCCCAGCAGATGATTCCTGTTCTTGTCGCTGGCGTGAGTTTTGATTTTGGACTTCGGACCATATTCGGACCATTTTGATTTTGGACTTTTTGGACTTTTGGACTATATTTTGGACTATATTACTTTTATGGCGAGTTCTCCAAAAACCCACTGAAGCAAAAAAATCCAAAACTCGTAGACGGCTGATGTTCACAGCTCTCTCCCACCCACACAGACGAATGCGTGTTGCGTGGCCAATCCGAATTGAAACAACTTTTGGTAGATTTTCCCCAATTTTATTGTGCATAGTATGACTGAGACACGGTGTAGCTTGTGGTAACTGTACAAAAAATATGTAATACATGTGCAGGGAGCTTTAGAATGGAGTCCGAAATCAGGTTTTTTCGGATGTATCCTGCAAGACACGTTACCCAGCGTTCAGGAATTTCTTCAGCAGATTCTGGAAGACTTGTTGCTGCTGCTGTACATGATAAGAACGGCTACGTATTGGACAGTGTCCACAGGTGCGCGGGCATTCCGTTGCCATCAAAGGGCCGTATTGGCGATGTTGGCAAAGAAACACATAAGTTGCGCACTCGGAGCGTCCATCCGGTCCCGTCAGATCAATGCATGTGCCGTTCGCGAATATACCTGCAAAACGATAATCAACTATTAGTCAGTAAATTTTGCTTTTACTCCATTTTGCTCTGTTTTTTCATCCACTCACTGCTCACTCGTCGCAATAAATGCATTTAGATGCAAGCGTCCTTCACTCCTTCGCTTTCTCTGTCACAGTCAGCTTCTGTTCTGCTTTCGTCACTGACCACGTTTCGATCGTCAGAGATTTTTAAATTATCAATAAATCGTTAGAAGCGTTAGAAATTCATCACGGTGTTGTACA